TAATATATATTATATTACTTAAAATAACGGTGTGTCAGAGAAAGAGCAGGGGGTGTACCACAGAGCTAATTCACCCGAGCCAGGGTTTCTCTGACTCAGCTGGCTCGAGAACCTAACAAGAGATCAGGGTACCATAAATGTGGTTATCTTGTCTTTTTTCCTGTCTTTTTTCAGGCTCTGTTTGCGTTCTCATAAAGGGGGCGTGTGGTGAGTCATTTGATATTTCTATCGTACAAAATTAAATGTAAAATAGCTACATTATATCCAGAGGTATAAAGCCCACTTTGTCAAAACCAGACTCCGCATAAAAGGCATAATCCAAAGTGATGACGGTATGGTATGAGTATAGCCCTCAGGTAAAGACAGGGATAAGCTGCTTTGGCCGTCTACCCAGGATAAAGGGGTGGAACCTTCTTATCATACAGTTTTCAGTTGGACTCAAGATGCATGTGCTACGAAGCCAAGTCAACCTACCCTGAATCTCTCAGTGTTACCTAAACTAACCCTAACAAATGTGATCTCTCTAAATCAGTGGTTCTCAACTGGTGTGTCGCGGACCCGTTTCGAGTGGGATGAAGAAGATGTGTGAGTGAAGAAAAACAAATTGAAAAAGAAAAATTGAAAAGAAAGTCAAACTTTTATTTTGAAGGCCCGATTTTCTAACACTGTGCATGCAGTAAGCATTGGACTGGAAGTACCAGAGACCATAAACGGTTTTGAAAACTTCTGTCACGTAGTGATCATCTTCTCACTAAAACATCTTTGCTAATGTTTTTTCGAGTCTTCTGGCCAATCAGAATCAAGATGGTTGCCGGAAGTCCCCACGGAGATTAACTTTGCGGTAGAACTACTCTTTATACATCCATGGGTACAACTTAACATAAAAATGAACACATAATTAAATATGACCCCCGGTTTGATGATTGACAGGTCACAGAACAATGGGAGCTATCTACCCTTACCCACAATTTAAAGTAATTCACACAGACTCTCTCCTCTTTGCTCTTCTCTCTGTGAGGAGCAGCAAGTTCAGCTGTCAGAACTAAGTGAAAAACAAACAATGGCATCAAATATTATTAATATGTCGGGTAGTAATAGATGTATTTATTTTCTTCTCAGAGTGTACCAGAATGCGTAGTTTATATGTTAGTATTTCAAAAAATCTCCTTGGGGAGAATCCCCCCAGACCCCCCTTCTGGGGTTGGGTTTTCAGCATGTGTGCCTTTTTGTGTTATACAGTTCAGCTTTGATTCCATCATCTCATTAAACCTTATTTAAAAGCATACTTTAGTTCTGTGAAGGGATATAAGGGATATGTGCACTGTACTTCACTTAGATGAATGGAGTTTATTTGTTCCGTCTTTTGCATATTCTTCTGTCCCTCACCTATCCTGCATGTGTGTGTTTTGTAAAAAGTGTTTTGTCTTAAAAATCTCTCACCAGTGGCGAGCCGTCAGGGCCTTCTAGGCCCTCTCTGAGGGCCTAAGATATTCTAAAAAATAATATTTGAAAACATAAAAAAAAAAGATTTCGATATTTTTTATTATATCTTTCATTAGTTTTACCAAAATGACTTGATTTAATTTTATTTAAAATAACATTTCCAAAGAAATAAATCCTTCGAATCTGCCTGTTCAGTTTCTGTTTGAATGTGAAGGGTTAAATGAAAGAAGCTCGTCTCTGCGAGTTATGTGAGATAGGAGCTGATTGGTGGTCCTGCTGTAAATTCACAGAGGGCCCACTCTAGTAACTCCACGAGAGAGTAATGTCAAGTGACAGTACAATTGACCAATCATATCTTCCCTCGAAATGGGTGGGCTTTATTTTCGCGGACTTTATGACAAGTTCCGCCCGCTGTGAAGTTTATGCAAGTGGTGCAGTGACGCGTCCTATAACCCGGAAGTAAGCTGCGCTCGGGTTCCCTCGACAAAAAGCAATGGGATTTCTCCATAGGGTTTTGGAAAATAGCTGGAAATAAGGTCTGTGGAAAACGAACCTGTTAGATAAACGCACGTTTTGTTCAGCCGGATAATATCCACATGTCTACCCTACTTTTATAATTTTCGAATCATAAATCTAATCGATAGATTTATGATTAGCATAAGTTCGTTCCTGATGGCTCATGTCAGTGATAGTGATGACATCGTTGCGAAATTATTAACCGAGTCATTTTCAAGATTGAGTTACAAAGATAAATTGGAGTGGCAAAGGATCAGCTGCATGACCCCGCCATCAAGTGCTTCATCCAAAAGGACAGGAGGATGGACTTTGTGTTTAAAGGTCCCATGTCATGCTTTTCCGGTTATTACCTGTCCCCTTGTGTGTTATGAAGGTTTCTATCAGTGACGTGCGGTGAGGTTCATGGCTGGTGAGACACTGACTCACTGAGTCAGATTTACAAATATTATATTTTGACCTTAATCGAAATATTCTGTTATTTTCAAAAGCTTTTTTAGTCTGATGCTTCGATTCATTTTAAACAGACCGTTCAACAAAAGGATACCCAAAATCTAAATATTGGATTGTTCTTTCTTAGTAAGATCCCATTTTCATTACAAATGTGGTCTTACCTTGACTTGAAGATGAAGTCCATGCTATCCTTCTGGACAACAATCTCTATTACTTTTTTGTAAAAGTCCTCCTTATCTTCCTGTAGTTTCAAAAGTCTAGTTTGTTGTTACGTCTACCGTCTCTGCGTAGAATTACAGTAGCAACAAGAACCTGTGGGCTCACGTGCGCCCCCTTCAGTGCGGCAGAGGTTATGGCTGCCTCCCCTGGTGCTTTTTCATTGCCGTTGTACGATGAGACCAGCGAGCCTAAATATCATATATACGTGAAATAAGTTATTTAGAGACTATGGATGGCGAGGATAAATGTAATAAAGGGATCTACAAACATTACATTGGTGACCTACAGTGAGATGGTAACAGGCATGCGCTTAGGGCCCGCTTTCCAGACAGTTTCTGTGGGGTGACGCATTCTGAGGTGAGGCAGAGCTCATCTGTGCCTCACCTCACCCGACAGTAACTGGCTTGAGTGCGCTCACAAAATAAGTGCCCGCGCTAAATTAGTGCCCGCTCTCCAGCAAGTTACTGGACGTTGCAAGTTACGACGTGCAGTCAGGGGAGGCTCTGCCTCCCCTGACTGCACGTCGCTGGTTTCTATGCATGTAAACGGTCTGCAGAGTCACAAACCCTCAAAGTACACCCTGTAGCGAGTAAAACTCTAACACAGAAAATACCTGTCTGTGCTGCCCCAGAATGCCTCGTTGGAGATTTCTCTTTTTCTTCCTGGGTACAGTGACGTGACCATACCCAGATGGACCAATCCGTGGAGCTCCTCACACACAACTGTGGCGCGCCTACACTGTAGGTGCGTGCCTGCTGGCAGTTGTTGTTGATTTGGGCATATTTCCTGGACAGGCTACTTTGTGCAGACAAAGTGAATGATAATTGTAATATTCCAGTTATAAACGACATGAATCGTCAGAATGTGTTGCTGTATTTTAGTGGTAAAAAAAATTCATTCATCATCATAATTATTCTATATATATAATTTACACAGTGCCTGTAAACCGGAGGAGAACGCTGGCATTTCTTTTTTTGGCAGGGATAGGGTCTGCAAAATTAGTTTATTTTGGGGATTGACTGGATACTCTGACCGGTCCACTTCCTGCCCGGCGCCTCTGCAACGCCTCGTGTCGCGTCGAAAATAGACTTGCATCCTATTTTTTGCGGAGCCCAGCGCCGAGACGCTTCTGGGACGCTTCTAGCCGTAACGCAGCGCGTCTGGTGGAATAGCACCCATTGACTAGAGTGGCCGCAAATGCTGTGAACGCTGCGGCGCAGCCGTAACGCGGCCCTAACGCGGCTGTAGCGCGGCGCAGACGGACCCGGTGGAATCTAGGGGTCACACTGTCCGTTCCTCGCAGCAGCGAGCCGCGCAACGTCCCACCAACACGGTACCCAGACCCCACGCAGCATTCTCATCTGTTTGTCATTACTGGTGTCATTTTCTGGTTGCTAACGCCATTGTAACACATAATTACTGATGTTCCGCTGTAACGGTGGTAGACTCATCAGAACAGAGTGGGCGAGCTGACCAATCAGAGCACACTGGGCTCACAGGGAGGGGGGTGCAGGAGCTCCAACAAGGCGTTTAGGACAGAGAGTGAATACACATACTATACAGAGATGCTGTATGAGAAACCAATGTGAGTTTGGAACATTGCACAATATAAATCTATTCTAGTAGACCTCAACAATGGAATTATGATCAGTAGAAATGGCCATGACATGCGACCTTTAAGTGATTTGATCATCAAAGGTAGGCCTAAGTAATTTTCAATGTGGGCCGCCGTGCCGATTTAATTCATTTGTAATTGTTACTTGGCTGTGGGTGCCCTGTCATGATAGGTGTTTATATAAATGGTGTTGTTCTGTGTCGTAGAGGGTCACTGTCATTGATGCGTTTTGCACCCCGGGCCGTTGTTTTGATATTCCGCTGAAGTATACGCTATGACGTAATAACTTTTCTTTTTTTTTTTGTTGAGGGGGGGGTCAGAGGGCCTAGGTATAAAAGTCACGGCTCGCCACTGTCTCTCACTGCATACATACAAGTATCTAACCTGTAAAATGGCACTTCTGCATACAATGGCAATGTAAGTACACAGCTCCGGTGTGGTCCACAGCCACAAACGGCTCAAGAAGCTTCTGAAATGCTTCTGAAACGCGCCCGGTAGGGTATGACGCCGGAGGAGGCCGGACCAAAACCGCGGCGCAGCCGTGACACGACGCAGACGGACCCGGTGGAATCGAGGGGTTAGCCTATATTATGAGGTCAAGCTTTGAACTCTGTGCACTGAGCTCTGATTGGTTAGCAGGCGGTGCTTTCCTCGAGTTGATCTCTTATCTCGAACCCAACCTGAGAGCAGGTTTAGGCTTAGGGCCATTTATCTCCCTGTGAGAAGTGGCAGCAGATGAAGCTGAACCCTCCGTTACCTGCATGTGTTTTGATGAAACCTCCTTCCTCTAAGGAAACACTTGTTGGGCGACTCATTGCACTCGCAGGAACACTTGGTTCTGTTGAGCGGCTGGTGCCGGGGACACGTCCTGCTGCAGGTGCACTGACAGGTGTCCTTGTTGAAGACGTGGTTCTGCGGGCAGGAGGGAGAGGGCGGCACGCTGCACACACACCGGCAGATGTTCCTGTCAAAGTGCCGGTTAGGGCTGCAGTCTGGAGTCTTATCCCCGCGCCGACACACACACTGACAGGTCTCCACGTCCAGCTCCTTATCCTTACCACACACATCTGCTGAGAGTATGTCTGCAGAGGGAGACACACAGATGGGGTTAATCTTACATGCCTGGATGGATTGATTTACAGTGTTATCAGGGGTGGGTTGTGACAGATAATCAGGTTAAATCAATCAGATTACAACAACAGAAGTAAATATAATAAACAGGTTACATTTGAAAATGCAATTATAGTAATTGTCAGTTCTATGTTTTGATTATGGCTTTAAAAAATGACTATTTTATGTGTACTGTTCTGGATGAAACACTTTACAATAGTAATTGCACATAAAGAAACAAATGTGGATGCACCTAAAGCAGAATATTCACACAGTACTATTTAATGTTGCCTTCCATTTAAACGTACAGTAGGGTTCCACATCGTAGTGCCACATAAACAACTGTATATTAGCTGCTTTAGTATCATTGTTAAATGTGTAACATGTGAGTACAGAAAGTGTTATGTGTCTGATATGTACTATGGTACTGTCTTAGATATTGTTTTATTTTAAGGAATATAGAGCCAAACTTAGCATCTTGTTTTTTTATATTTAACCAAATACCCAAACCCACATTCAAGACAACTTAGCACCATAGCAACCAAACATATTGGTAGTTTAGTTGGTTACAGTAACTTTAAAGAAAACAAAATGTACGCTATCCAAACACTGTTGTAAATGTTCTCTATTTAAAACATAACTACATATAAAAACTGTGTGTGACAGCAGTTTCATGAAACTCTAATTTGAGATGTTCCTGAAAGGAACAAACACTGTTCTCTCCTTCCTCTGGGATAATACAGATGTTCTCTTTTAATACTGGAAATCGTCTTCCAGCTGACAGAGAGAGTAACAGATGGTCCGGCAAAGGGATGTTCGGACTGTTCAACACACACACACACACACACACACACACACACACACACACACACACACACGCACACACGCACACACACACACACACACACACACACACACACACACACACACACACACACACACACACACACACACACACACACACACACTTGCTCTGTGTGTCTACAGATGAACAAACACTGATAACAAAGACACAGTTTATAGCTGTCAAAATGCAAGCTGTGTCTACTCCAGCGTAGCAGCATGTGCTAACAGACGTTTACAACTAAATCAATGCAATGAGCTTCAGTGGAACTCTATGTTCTGCTGGGGACTTCTTCACTACACAATGTAAAGCCTCTACACACAAGATACTCCTGTAAAATATTTGCATAAATATGCGCATTTGCAACATTTACATTACTAGCCGTTGTGTATGCTTCAGTTCATTCAAATGTACCAATAGATGCTCACAGGATTATATTGATCCAGAGCATTCCTGAGGTAAACTGTTGTAAAGCCTAAAATATTCTAGGCTATTGAGTGAATTTGAGTCCTGCAGTTACTCAGTGTATTTTTATAGGGCTTTTATTTATAATGGGGCAAGCAGGAAGGAATGCATCTGGTATTCGCTCCCTTTGTCAAGGTTGAAAAAAGTGATAACGTTTTTAAAGTTTTGGATTATGGAGCCTCTAAGTAACCCTGATTGGTTGACGCCTATATTTGCAGTGGGAAAGCTCCAAAAAAATACTTTGTTTCGAAAAATAATGTTGTGTTTCGAAAAAGAATACTGTACAAAGTTGCGTTCTGTGTGAGATTATTTTTTTTTTGTAATTAGTTTTTATTGAATCAGGCACAGTGAGTTTACATTTATACAGTCAATTTTTTTTTTTTCTTCCCCTTTCCCCCCCTCCCCTCCCAGTCCTACAGTAGCTAGTAAAGTAAATAACTACGTAAATAGATACATATATAGGTAAAAAATACAGTAATGTAAAAGATAATATTAAAATAAGATTAATTAATAGATACGGAAATAAAGAATAATAGCCATAATACATGTACCCATATACTCACATATGTATACCCACATATGCACATACACATATATATATATGTACATACCTACACACCAATACACATACACGTACACATACATACACGTGCACACATACATGTATACTGTATAAAGACAAAGACAAAGCAAAAAACTAAATAAACAAAACAAACCAACAACAAAAAACAAAAAAAATACAAATAAAAAAGGAGACAAAAACAAACACATACATTCGTAGTTCCCCCCTTTCTTCTTAATGTAGTGTCTTAAGTTCAGCTATGTAGGCTATCATAGAGCCCCAGACAGAATCAAATAGTTTTGAGGAGCCCCTCAGGTTATATTTGATCTTCTCTAAGTTCAGGTACATCATAGGATCTTTAAGCCATAGAGATGCTTTAGGTGCTATCGAAGATTTCCATTCTAGGAGTATTCTTCCACGTGCTAAGATAGTTGCAAAGGCTATACTGTCTTTAATTTTCCTCCTCATCACTCTGTGGCCAGGTAGTACTCCGAAAATGGCAGTTTCTGCACATGGTGTCAATACCACGTCCAAGGCCTCAGCGAGGTGTTTGAAAATGCTTGTCCAGTATCCTTGTAGGCGAGGACCAAAACATATGAGTCATGTTTGCTGGTGACGTGTGGCATCTGTTACAGGTATCCGTGACATTTGGATATATTTTGGAGAGTTTAGAATTGGTGTAATAGATACGGTGGACAACTTTAAGTTGTATAAGATTGAGCCTGGCACAGGACGTACTATTGTTCACTCTCGTTAATGCACCTTTCCAGACCTCATCATCTATTGCTTGGACTAGTTCCTCTTCCCAATCTTGTTTGATTTTACCAAGAGATGTTTCTGTGAGACGGGAGACGGAATTGTAAATTCTTGAAATCAAACCTTTTTCGGTTGTTAGAGTGTCCAGAATTGAGTCAATTATTGAATCCGGAGGGATATTGGGAAATGAAGGGTTATTTAGTTTAACCCAGTTACGGACCTGGAAGTAGCAAAATAGATGAGAGTCTGGGAGACAAAATGTGTCAGAGAGTTGGCTAAAGCTACCGAAAACATTGTTAATGTAAAGGTCCCTTACTCTGATAAGGCCTAATCTCTGCCACATAGAGAAGGCCCCATCAGTGTAAGGGGGGAGAAAGAGATGGTTGTTGCGAATGGGACTATGTATAGAGGATCCATAAAGTCCATGAGCCTTTCTAAATTGGGACCATATTCTTAGGGTGGAAACAACTATCGGGTTATTCGAATATTGAGTCGGCCGGCTGGGTAATGTAGATGTAAGCAAAGCCAAAAGTGAGGTATTAGGACAGGATTTGGCTTCAAGCTCACACCAACTCAATGTTCCTTAGTCAATACATTTATTTTGTGGATATTGGCTGCCCAATAGTAGTGTCTTATATTTGGAAGCGCCAATCCTCCTGTAGATCTGTGCCTTTGTAGCAGCTCTTTCCTAATTCTAGGAGTCTTTCCTTGCCATAAAAAAGAGGAGATTAGTGTGTCTATTTTACGAAAAATTGATTTGGGTAGGAAGACTGGCAGACATTGAAAGAGGTACAGGAAGCGAGGGAGAACATTCATTTTGATACAGTTTACCCTCCCTGCGATAGTTACATTTAAATGATTCCACCTTTCCAAATCAAGTTTGAGCTTGTCAATTAATGGTGGGACGTTGTCTTTGTAAAGGTCTGAGAGTTTTCCACTTATATTCACGCCTAAGTACTTAAAAATTACTCCTAGACATCTTGAAGGTGATGAGTCTATCAGGGATCTGAAGGGCCAAGTCATTTACAGGGAAGCACTCACTCTTGGAAAAGTTTAGCTTGTACCCTGAGAAGGTTCCGAATCGGGTTAACAGATCTATTATGTGAGGAATGGTAGATATAGGGTTAGAAATGAACAATAGTAAATCGTCAGCGTATAACGAGAGTATGTGTTCTGAACCATATCTGATAATTCCTTGAGTAAAGCTAGCAGATTTAAGCGCAATTGATAGTGGTTCGATTGCCATGGCGAATAGTAACAGGCAACCCTGGCGAGTACCTCTACCTAGTGTAAAATATTGAGAGTTTATCCTGTTAGTACTCACTGAAGCCTTGGGTGAGGAGTATAACAGTGCTATCCACAACACAAATTTGGATCCGAGGCTGAACCTTTTAAGGACCTCAAATAGAAAGCCCCACTCCACCCTGTCAAACGCTTTCTCTGCATCCAATGAGACCACCACTGGTGTCTCATCGGATGCAGGAGAGAGGAGGATGTTGAGAAGGCGACGGATGTTGGAGAAGGAGTATCGGCCTTTCATAAACCCAGTTTGGTCTAATGATATGATGTTTGGCGTGACTGATTCAAGGCGTATCGCTAGTATTTTAGCTAGGATCTTATAGTCCGCGTTCAGAAGGGAGATGGGGCGATAGGAGCTACATTCAGAATTTTCCTTGCCTGGTTTTAATAATACGATTACTACCGCCTCTGTCAGAGTTTGTGGCAACGTTCCCCGGTCCAGAGAGTCCTCGAACATTCTCAAAAGAAGGGGGGTCAATTTATCGGTACATTTTTTATAAAACTCAATTGGGTAGCCGTCTGGGCCCGGGGCCTTAGCACTCTGAATCAGCCTGATCGAGTCAGCTATTTCACTGGGCTTTAGAGGTTGATCCAACTCACCCTCCTGATCAGGTGTTATGGACGGAAATTCCAGATCATCCAAGAATTTTGTTCTGTCCGCATTATCGACCGGGGCTTGTGAGGCATATAGTCCAGAGTAAAAGGTTTTAAAGGTGTCATTGATCACCGATGGGATTGTTGTGAGTTCACGAGTAGGGGTCCGTATTTGTTTAATTTGTTGGGATGCCAACTGGCTCTTAATTTGGTGCGCTAGGAGACGACCCGCCTTCTCCCCATGTTCATACTGAAATCCACGCGATCTTAAAAGCAATTTCTCAGTCTCTTGCGTTGAAAGTAAGTTGTAGTCCATCTGAAGATTTTGCCTTTCTTTATCTAGTTCAGGGGTTGGACATGTTGGAAGTTTGCTATCTAGTTTTGCTATACAGCCCAAAAGTTCTAACTGTTTTTGCTTTTTCATTTTGTTTTGCCTTGCAGAGTAAGAGATA